CAGTTTTTAGAAGTCTGTCGATACGTTTTAGTAGAGTTTCCCTAGTGATCAATTTCATAATGGATGACTTTCATGTTCAATGTTGATTAAGTTAGCTGTTCGATAAAAATCTTGAATTATCTTTGAATCTAATGGTAGAATGTGAGAACGAATTCCGATGTTGTTTATATCGATTATTCGATTTCGGTTCGAAATTCGTTATTCAGATTCTCGTGTGCTTCGCACCGCATTTCGTATTCGAGAGAATCTCGAATACCATCTAGTTTAATAATTGAAACTTAACTTGACACTTTTGAATTGTGATTTTATGTTCGCAAATGAGAATGCATGATCTCAGCTTGTTAACTAACAACACAGACCCTTCCACTGTTAGATCCGGGATCTGAACTGGATCACGAACTGGTCTCGGTTCCGCTGCCGAAAATGACTGCCCTAAATCATGTGTAAAAGGGACGTCTGATATTTGATTCAATCAGTATCATTGCATTAAGCGATGAGCTGTTAGCAGTGAAACCTTCACTTTTTGTCAGTCCTGTTCGATAAGTGCAAAAAAAAGGTGAATTAATGGTATAGCGCATATTCTGTCGAACATTCTACTGATTATTCATCGTCGGTGATCAATCTATGCAAACGATAGAGTAGAGAATAAACAAACCGACAGAAATATCTCAACAGTATATGATTAATGTATAATGCATCATTAATTCACGTATAGTTATGTACGCCAAAAACCTAAATTTATTTCATGACGTATGTATAGGCAATTCAGTGCTTTCCTCACACTCATTGTACAACATCGATACATTACACTGTTACTCTGGGCATGGACACACAATATTTCATAAGAATACGATTGGCAAATTCTTTTTTGGTAGATCTCTGGCAGTGTTTGTTCTTACTGTAGGGGTACCTTAATATTTTCTTTGTTCACTCTAACACTTACATACTTTTCTACATACTTTAATCCTGCATAGGACACATTTTCACTATACACGAAATTAATGAGAAAGATAGGATTATTCGTAGTACTTCTTTAGCAAATTGACGACATCAACATGTTACAAAATGCTTTTATACGAGTTTCAAGTTATATTAGATATAAATCGTTAGCTTTTGAGTGTCAATTGTACATTGTTCGATATGAATCGATAAAATTTTTAATGCATCGCGTATTGTACCAAAGATTGATAAGACTGTTTCACGCTCTAGCGTACGTTAATGAAACGTTGTCCAAATCTTCCTGGAACACATGATGCGTCATCGCATAGTTCTATTCGTGTTGAAAGAGCATCGAAGAAACGATTTCACGTTTTCGAAATGTATTTAGCGTGTAAGAAAAGAAAGACACATACATAAACTTGAGCAAGAGTGTGGGAAAATTTATCGGATGTATATTGTATATTATGAAGTATTCATTAATATCTCTACAAAGGAATTCTGTTTTGTACATATCTCATAATAAATGTGATTATATGAAAGATTTTATGTCACACGATTCTATATACATTTTTGAAGATTAGCTACACCTTTTTTAGCCGACATTTTAAATGTACAAATATCCAACATCGAACAATCGAAAGTATCTTTTCGATAACTTCCCCCGTCTGTACACAAGGCTACTAGCAAAAAACTTAAGTTTATTGACGGTAGCTGTTTTTGTCTTTGTATGTGATGCTAAAAAAATCCGTCGTAGTAGGAAAAAGAAAGAATGGCGAATAGTCGCACATATTGAGATATGTCCATTTTTCTTTCTTACGTTCTGTGCATGGTATAAAAGCAAAATACAACATCGTCGATTAAAAAAAAGTTCGTAACTTTTTACGAAGTAAGTTATTGCATGAGTACATTTTGAGTAAGTCTTGTTTTTGTTTTTCTATATTTTAATGTTCTTGAGTAGCATTAACATTCATTCATATTTCCGTTTTCTAGAATATTACTAATGTCACTCACGAAATTCGAAGACTTACCCAACGAAATTGTATTATCTATTTTTGAGTTTCTCGATGGTTTTCATCTCATATTTGCATTTGGCAAACTTAATTTTCGTCTTAATTCATTGATTAACGATGTTTGTCTTGATTTCAATTTGACAAATCTTAAAAAAGACAAGTTTGATTACATATTCGATTATATATTTCCGTTCAGCAGCAATGTATTTTCTCTGACATTGTCCAATTGTAATATTCTTGGTCCGATTGAAATGTTTATTGCTCGATTTGAAAATGTGATTCCACACAATCCACTTCGTTATCTTAAACTTATTGGTATACACACAGAAGCACTTCTTTCGTTCTTGACAATTGTGCTTCCAGAACTTATTCATCTTGTCTCATTGACTCTTGCGGATGCTACGTTTTATCCCTATCGGTGCCGATCTATTAAATATGTTCGTGACCAATTGCCCTTACTCAAGCATGTTTCTTTATCATTCAGGCAGCAACCATCATATACATCTTGAGTTTTGACACAGCTTTATTCTACATTTCATACTATTCAATATTTAGCATTGCATAATTTTTCATATGATATCATTCAATTACCAGACTTGTTTCAACATCTATACAAAATTGAACATCTCGAGATAAAACTCGATATCGATGACGATATTGATTGTTGGGGTCCTTGGATATTGGATTCTGAATTGATTCGAAATGGTGAACAACATCTACGATCACTCATAATGCAAATTGAATTTCGTTTGTTATTTATAGAAATTGCGTCATTCTTAAATCATTTTCCACAATTGAAAAACTTCTCACTTGTTACACATGAGTTCACACATCATATTCAATTTTGCGATGGCGAAAAATGGGAAAAATTAATTCAGAAATCGCTTCCTTGTTTAACGTCATTTTGTTTATATTTGAAATTCAAAAACTTTAATTCAGATATAAGTTCAACTCTTATTGTTGAGAAATTTCGTAGTTCACTCTGGATAAATGCAAAGAAATGGTATGTTATATGCAATAAATTCACCAATGAATTGATTCAACTCTATACAATACCTTGCCCGAAAAATGTTTCTGTTACTCTCAATACAATCTCATCAAATTGGGATACAACGCTTCCTTCATTTAATTCATCGACATTCGTTTCTGTAGCTCACCTCATAGTAAATAATACTGAATTCCAACATAATCTAACTCCAATACCATATTGTAATAATATCAAATCACTTCCTAATTTGTCACTTTCAACGAAAAACTATTGTTTGTCACAACATATAAATTTATTACAAGTTAAATCAGCTATCGATAATCGCTCAATACTGTCACGTCAATACTTGAATATGATTGAAAATATTTTGTTGCAAATACAACAATCTAACAATGTCTTTCTTTACATGAATATTCACGCTCTATCATATTTTTGTCAAAATAGCAAAAATAATTATTTCAAAGAAAACAAAGAATCGTCTGTTAATTACAAATGAAATGCCTTTGAAATTTTACGTGAAACGATAAAACATTAGAACAGATTGAAAAGAAAAATATTTGTTGTTTGGGTTTTTATCAGAATGATGTGTTAAGATTGACTTGCTATGTGAGTTCGTCAAGGTACCCAACCATCGAAACAATATCGTTGACAGATAAAAACATACGAAGAACTGAATATAAAAAGAAACAAAAGCAGTTTTCAGCGTACCAAGATGATTTTTTCATAGAAGCACATTATCATAAAATCAAATAAAACACTCAGTAGTAGGAATACTTTGCTCACCATTAGCTCATGTATTCTATACTCTGATACTGAAAAGAAGTGATATGTTGCGCTTAATGAGTATCTTCACTGATCAGTTACATGAAAACTGATCTCATTAACTTCCTTAAAATGTCGAAATCCCTAGCCAAAGCTATTACACACAATAGTGCTCTGATCCTGTTAGAAGTGGCATTTTGTCTTTTGAGATAAGTAATGTGATGCAAAAGTCTTTGGAACAATGTAAAACACCGTTGGACCATATTATCAACTTCGAAACTAATCAATTTTTTTGTGTTGGACAGAGCGATTTCTGAGCGGCAGATTTCGTACCACACATATTATTCCAGAACAAGCCTGAGACAGAGGAAAAGTCAAAAACCAAACATGCAGTACAAAAAGTTCTTGCAACTTCACTATCGAGCATCATCGTTTTCTAATATCTGTGATTTTGCTTTCTATCAGAAGAAAATGAAAAGAATGCTTTTAAACTGATGGTTCTTACAGAAGGCTCTACAGCTATTCATGATTCAAATCTTGTTTATTAGAGAGTCAAGAACAAATATAAAATATTCTATTCAAGCTGATATCAATAGAGGTTTTGATGCGTTACATTTTGATGGATTTCTTATTAAAACTTGGTTCATGTAGCTCAAAATAATTTAGAAATACAGACTTTTCAAGTTGCAGAAAACATTTCAAGAACTTTTCCTTCTCAGTTTCGTTGTAGAAAAATGTGTGGTATAAAATTTTTGCAAAGACCTTTGCATCGCATATTAGTTCCATATAGATTGGATTTTAATACTGAGTATGTGATTCTAATTATTTGATTGCTGCTAACACTTTGGAACACATTTGTTTTGTCAACATCTGCTTAACATATTTCTCGTAGTCTAGACAACTGCTCATCATATTACTAGGGATCAAAGCTTTCAAGTTTTTTGTTTTTTATATAATAACGCATATTCAACTACCAACAAATTATCCGAATTGTGATTAAATAGACAAAAATTATTTTTATTTAGCCCGAGTGCTTTTCTAACTTGATCAACTTCTTCTGAAAACTGTTTCATTATCCGTATATTACGTCTGTCACTTTGAAAACATTCACATGTACCAATAAGATTTTCATGAAGTATCAACAGTTTTATGTTGACATTTTAACTAAAGCATTTTGTCTAAACATGGAACTTGCCAAGCTTAGTATCAATGAGAATCATCGTCTTATCATTATTAACCATAATGATTATTCAAATGCTATAATGATAAGGAGTATACAAGATGCAAATTAATGAAACATGTTATCGTGGTAAATATTCATCGATGAGTGCATATAGCATTCTATTTTGGACAAAAATTATTTGATTTCAATCAACTAAACAATATGTTTATAGTTCATTCTTTAAAAGTTTGACAGAAAGAAAATAAAAAAAGGATTTATGCATTTCAAGTAGATACTGTACAATGAATGGTCTTTTATATTATCTTCGTCATACTAGTTCTAATACAAAATCGAAAATAATGCGCTTGTGTATCATTTTTCGTTAAAAATGTGTACACAACTTCATAACACTAATATAATTAGAAAATTAGATTTTTGGAGTGATATGTTGCTGCTAATATTAGAAAATTATTTCATTGTTTAAAAGCAAAATGCAGAAAAAATACAAAACAATTAGAAATAGGTTAAAGTCAAACACGAGAAGCACTGAATGGACTTTCGCAATTATGGAAAATTCCTGATTTCGTCACAATTGAATGAAATTCATCAGAAATGATGCTTTCGAATTAAGATTTACTATTGACAACAAACACTCTCAAAAAATATATGCATTACAACTGAGTTAGGCAGAAAAGAGTGCTAGACATCTGATCTGACTGCATGGGATGTTGTGTTAATGAATAGAAAAAAAATGCTAAATAAGACTCGAATTGATTACGTTGGTTCAACTATACTAATATTTCTCTATCGAGTGTAGTGTCACTGATTGAATAACCCACATTAAGCATCAGTTTCTTCTATATTTATTCTTATTCTCTTGGATATATCGACTGTTTGAAAATAAGCATCATAAAGATTTTCAGTGAATAGATCATTTTTATTCTTGACAGTCTATTCAAACATATTGAAATCCAAATAGTAAAATAACTAGAATGAATCGATGAGTGTACTCTAGTCGTTGGCCATTGCTTCTTGAAGACGTCGTAGTTAGTAATTATAATGATGTTTTTCTGGTTTTTTAGTTTTTTTCGATTTAGATGTTACCTTGCTTTTCGAACTATTACTTGTGCTAAAAGTGGTTTTAGTAGTTTGAAGAGTCGTTGTCGTGGGTGGATCGAACGAACTGCATTGGGATATTTCGATATCATCAAATGCAATCGAAACTGCAAACGGTTCTCGTCGAGAAACAGAAAAATAGAATGTTTCTGCACAAGCGACTTGCAATACAGGCACTGTCGCTACTTGCCATCCTTGACTGTCATCCGTTGATCGATATCAAGGCGAGGCACCATAGCAGCTGCCAGTTGACAACATCAAACTTGTCGCATTTCTATTCACTACTACTGACTTTACGTAGTAGGCAAATCGAACACACATGCCTGTATTTTGTTGGATAGTTTTCGATGGCTCTACTACACCATTATCTCCCGGAATGAAAGGTAATTGACGATTCCAGTAGATAAAACCACCTGATGATGACTTGCTCGTATGATCACGTGTCGGACCTAAACTTCGATCTGGGATCGTATCACCAGTCATCACAGTGAAATTAAATGTAGGTTTAGTAAATTGATCACCATTTGTCATATCGCACATTGTTTGATTGTCGAAATTACAAGAGAATGAGAGAAATGAATCATACGGCGTCAATGAAGATGTTGGATAATCACATGAAGTAATTTCAATATTGTCAAGAGCATAGGACCCGTGTGTGGGTATGGGCGTTATCTTCTTTCTGTTCCCATGCACCCACCCACACCCACACCCACACCCTGCAGCTGTGCTACAGCGTTTTTTGTGTTGTATATCTCAGCAGTATGTCGTCGTAATGCTTCAGCTGGGACTATTTAATGAAACAAATGTTTGATCGATCGACGGCATTAACCACTTTATAGATACTCTAATCAGATCTATTGTAGGCTATAATCACATATTTATGAGTTATCAAATCAACATCACATTCAAGATCCACTTATACACTTGGGATGAAACTTATTTTACAAGCTGATATTTGTATCATTTGAACTTCAGCATTGAGAGAAATTATTTATCATGTTAAATTGTTCTGATAAAGTGAAATACGGAAGTTTATCTAAAACAAGACATTTTATTTAACGACATCTTTCATTTGTATTTGTTTTCATGCAAAATTGGTTGTGATATTGTTACACTGACTATAGTGTAGTATCATCGTCTGCGTGAAACTCAACTTTCGTGACAGTAAAATACATAAGGGAGTTTGCCTTTTGATTTAGCACATTTCTGTCAGAACTTTTTCTAATGGTTCCAGTAAAGCAAGATGCCACCTATCGCAACGCATTCGATATTGATTGTCATTTCTTCTATCACTTAACATCACTAGACTACGTACTATTGATGAAAGCAATACTAAGAGGTCTGCTTATATAAAAATATTCTGTCTATTCTTGATGACCAATGTAGTCTAATGAAGAGAAAAATTTTCATTTATATAATAAAAACAATCGTTGTTCGTCTGTTATACTCAATGTTCTCAAGGCTTAAAATAAACTGTAAACAAGTAGACAAGGTATTTTTTATTTATTCTGAAAAAAAAAGTAATGCAGCTGTATTGGCTGAGGTGGAATCTATTATATTCCATAATCTAGTGAAGCGAATGCTATATAAGAGAAATCAAAGAACGATGATGAGTGAATCACCTCTGTCGAATATGAAAATACTTGTTAGTTTATTGAGTCTTTCTACGTTGGTCATTCGTGAGTTTTCGGATAAAAAAAGGGATTTCATAATTGAATTTGTGACATAATATTGACAATATTCAAACAGCTTATTCATCACAATTAAATAGAATTGCATCAATAGCTGCCTGGACAAAAAAAACTGCCGCCTTCGGTATGGATGACACAACCGTTTCGAGAACGTGTTGCGCCGATTTTCTTGCTTCATAGTTGCATGTTACTTGTTTCCATACTTTGACCAATGGTAACCACCAGTCTGCTTGAACAGAAAACAAAAGTTTCAATGCTTGATTAACAGTATCTGATAAGTCACTGCAATAAGGCGGTCTATCGTCTTTGCGCAGCATTCGAAATGGTAAATATGCAACTTGATACTTATTTGTTACTAGTAAATTCGTGTCCAATCGAGCCAGTGCGATGAGCTGCACTAGATTAGCCCAGCCGAGCCCAAAACGCTGTTCCATGTGTGATGGTAATAAAGATACTTTGGATTCAACCAGTGGGAGTCCATTGTCGAGTGAAGCTATATGTGCCGACCATAACGGCGCTAAATAGCACTTGTCAATTGTTCGATCGTCAAATTTATCATGTCAACAAAAAGAAGGATGTAAAAGATTCGTAAAGAAAACTCGCCATTTACTCATAGCGTCGGGTATCTGACGGAAGCATTCATCAAAGCTTGAGCAGAAATTTTCTCGTTAAACGATTCGAAATGGATCTTATCGAATAACTCCAGCGTCAGCAGCAGCAATAAATGAAATCACAGATAAATAATAGTTAACCGATCCCCACCAACTGTCAGTTGAAATATTTCTAGTACCATTTGAAAACAATCGATTTGAATCGAATTGCCATCCCAATTGAGATGCTAGACCGAAGAGAATATCCGTAGCATTTGATGAACAGAATGGCATTAGACGTGTGGTTGTATCAATCAACATTTTTTACATGCCGAGTCTGTGCAAATATAGCCATGGGTCAATCATTCGAGTGTTAGGATCAATGTTTTGATCAATTGATAATTTAGACGCTAAGGGATAGTCAGCAATCGACGAAGGTGCATCATTCCATAGCGAAGGAAAGCGTTCTTCGGCATATGAATTCTTCATAACCGTTGTCGTCAAAAAAAAAGAAGTTTGCTAAATATACCAGTATAACCATTATAATTGTTTGGCTAGCACCGAACTATTCAACTGACATAATCATCACTTTTATCTATTTATTTTTATTGCATTTCATAACAGAAGTATGAGAAAAAAGTACAGCTATGAAATATTTTTTAGATAACAGAACATCAGCTACCCATTCATGCTTAATTCTTGAGGATTTAATGTGATTGAAAATGAAATGTACCAAACACTCAGTAGTTAACTATCCAGTAATAAATGACTAACAAAGATATGATGCAGAATGGTACCGATGATAAATTTCGCAAGGTATGGCGTCGAACGTCGTAGAAGTCGACACATTCAACTTTTTTTTTTGATAGAAAGCAACTCTCACTTGTATTGTCAAGATCGTCGTGGTTGTGCATGGCTTTATTCTTGCTAAAGTTAAAATTAATCCAACGAAATAAAATACAAGCAGATTTACAGTAGTATAAATATCCAATTAAAATCGCCTGCATACAAACTCCAAAATGTCCCCATGATTAGTACACTCAATAATTTTGATCTCTTCTGCTGGTTTGAGGAACATTAAAATAGTTAGCTGATGTTTATCACAATAAATACTAGAAAAACAACAGCAGCTTTTATATAAACTAGTTTTGCTTGAGCTTTATTCGATCCTAGTGGTTTATTCTCGTTACACAGTCGGATAGAACTATCATGTTAGGTTATGTTTTACGTGCATATGCTTTGAGTTAACATGCGAAGAACTCATTCATTAGTATCAGAGATGTTAATTAGAGTTCGATAGGGTCGGGGTAGAGTTGCAATCGGCAAAGGTCTTTTTTCTTACCGGTTCTGGTATCTATCGAAACCGGTCAAACCGGGATGTGATTATGCGTGTGGTTATTTGTGAAGGGAGAGCCAGCAACCCTACCCGCACCCACACACTGGTACCAGCAAGGTTCACATTATATCCACACGTTCCCAATCGCATACCCTTAACTTCGTTCTCAAGACAACTCAAGGATGACTCTTGAGAGGGCGAACGTGATCTTAGCAATTTTTCGTATAAAAAGCGGGAGCAAATATCCATATGAGTTTCACAAACTCCTTCATAATCTGCTGGCGTTCTCTCGAAGCGTCTTACAAGTGGGATGATTCGGATGTAGCAAAAGGCGGTATACACGTTCCGCTTTTTCAAAAAGTGAGAATTCTTTTCTATAATCTTCCATTTTCACGTAAACAAATCACAATATTCTGGTAAGTCATACCCAAAATTGGATGACTTATAGAGAAAACTTGTTTCGAAATTTCAAGTGATTTTTCAAAGGTTGAAATTGCCTTCAACTGCTGTTCTTACACATCGTTCAAGAGTGATATGAACAATTATACGAAAACGTTGTGATACATTTATTTTTGATGATATTATCGCTAGAAATACAATTTTATTTTAGTTCTGATCCCAAAGATTGCTTTCTTAAATCTCTTCAAGATACCAGTACTTTGCTTCTTGCTGTTGCTCTTATATGCTTCCTGGCAAGGTAATAAGAGTCTACTTCATTTATGATGAATGCGTCTTTAAAGCTGAGTTACCAATTCGCTATCTTGGGAGTGTGGATATGACTGCAGATCGGACTCATGTGGAAACGAGCATCCACTCGCACACCCTGATATGATGCTTTTTAAGATGGCGAAGGTAACTGTTTCAGAGAGGTACTTGAACTTTTTGAAATGTATGGAATAATCAGCAAACTGTAAAAAAGTCTATTGAGGCAATGTATTTGTTTTTTTTATTACGCTAAATGGCTACGAACAACATTTGTTATATTATTTCTCGATAAACAAGATTCAAAAGTGTCTTAGAACCGAGACACAGGAACTCCTAAGCTGTCTCAGTGCTATCAACAGAGCGATAATAATTTTTCTCGAGAAGTCAAGCATTGATCGTCAGTTGTCCCACAATTCCACTTTTCCTAAATGGCAATGTAAGGCATTTTCTGCAATTGTCATCACAATCATACATTCGAATTTGCACAGTTTTTTATGGATATGAATATGAGAGGAAAAAATATCGTGCTTTCTTTTTATGTTAGCAATCATGAAATTGTAGCAGAATCGATGTAGAATTCCTATTTATTAGTCTGCGGGTAGCCCTTGTCAATTAAAAAGAAGCATTTTTCTCTATATCGATCAATTTTTCCGTTTTCATAGTTGGTTTAGAATAATAAAATTACTCACTAATATTTGCTTTGAAAATCTTATGTCATAAAATGAATTCAAAAAAAAAACAATCATGAAATGAATGATTTTCGATGTTATGAAAAGCAATCTAAAACATCATATGTTACACTAGAGATGATATTAACTAATATTCTATGCTTATTTATATTCGAAGTGATTAACTTGCCGGGATAGCTCAGTTGGGAGAGCGTCAGACTGAAGATCTGAAGGTCCCTGGTTCGATCCCGGGTCACGGCATGTCCTTTTTTGTATTCTTTTTTTTTCCAAAAATACAAATAAATATACTCAACACGTTATTGCTAATATGTAGAATAACAATCTTAACAAATCTCATTTATCAAGTAAACTTCAAAATACAGCTAAATCATATTAACAGTCAAAAATCTTTGCTTTTGTTTATGCATGCATGATATTTTTTATTACAGAATTACAAAATACTACTCCAATCTCAACTAAACTCAAAACTCGCCCGCTACATAAGTATTCGAGTCAAATGCATAGAGAAACGATACAATGTACGTTTGGATAAAAGTAAGAGCAGAAATTTCTGATTGTTGTACGGCAAATTAATAATTGAATGATGTGACATGATAATATTAGTATCGAAAATTGCTATCGCTTAGGACTTTTTCTTTCGGTACACATTTTGTCTTAAGTCACAAGTAGACCAAGCTACATTTAAGGCATGATGACACAATATAGTATTGGTTATGGATCTGCTACAATGAACGTTTTTCTTCATAGAATTCACACTGCGTACATTCGAATTCAATAACAGCATCATTTAGTCAAATTGTTAGCAGTGTCATTCGTATCCGATGTAAACAAAACACTGATAACTTCCATTGAGATTCCAATATGATCATAATGATCTCGTTCTAGAAGGACAAACATCTGCGTCATTTTATAATCCGAGTGATGTGTTTTTCTTCATAATTAGAAACGTAACTAATGAAAATGTTTCTGAAATTACATACGTTGTTCAGAATGGGTTAAGCCTTAGTTTTCTGATGAATCAGCTTAGTTTATTTGAAAAAAAAGCAGCCTGCAATATTCAGGAAGGATGAATTTAGATTGAAACATGTAAAAGTAAGACTGCTGCATTTGAGAGGCAAATAGTGTTATACAAGCATGAAAAAAAAACTATATGATATTTTCAAAATACATGAAATTTGAATATATTCTGTAATGCATGCATTACATATCCCTGGACTTCACAGCAGATGAGATGTGGAAATGATCTTACGTATTAACTGCAACATGATATATAAAGCTTCAATAATGTCTCAGTAAGTCTTTCACATGTCAAATGCAACAGTGTCATTTACATCTTATTCGTTGAGCTATTCAAAGCTAACCTGAACTCTCACTAATTTCATAACTGAACACAATATGACTTGTAATAAATCGGTGAATATTTTTCTTCTTGGTCTTGCATCGAGTATGAAAACAGATATTCGAACAAGCAACATTGATCAAGGACAAATTATAACTTTTGCCAAGGGGGAAACAGCGGACTTCAAGACTTCAAGACTTCAAAAGACTTCAACAGACTTCAACAGACTTCAGCCGCAGTGACTTCATATTTTCACAAGACTTCACAAGACTTCAAAAGACTTCTGAAGACTTCATAGGACTTCAAATGACTTCGCAAGACTTCATAAGACTTCGTATGGCTTCATGGGACTTCATGAGACTTCAAAANTGCATCTATAAATGGAACTGGTACTGGTCAATTGGTCATCAATATTCAAACTGTTGATGGTGTTGAACTTTCGACTACTTTTCTGATTGAAGCACTAAAACCAGGTAGATATGCTGAACGTATTGCTGTTGATGCTAGTCCGGATCCAGATTGTGATCCTAGTGTCGGTAAGAAGTTATTTATTGTGTTAATTTTTAAAAAAGCTTGTATTTTTAATACTAGAACAATGTGAAGAATGGTTTCCAGGCGTATATAATGTTACAGTTATGATTTGTAATGGAGAATGTGGCTCACATCATCCCCATAGTCAACTATATGATATGGTTAAAGGCTCATTTCGAATTGATTAAAAATAATAAAAAATAGTGTGTTCACTCTTTCTTTTTGTAAAAAAAAATACATTAAATAGTGTAGAACCTCGTCTATATAATTGCCTTGTATGAAGATATCTGATTTGACTTTAAGTAAGCATATTTTAGTTTTATGCATTAAAATCAAAATTTATATAGAATAAGAATCGTTTTCTGCTGAAAAAAATGTTTAATGTCATTAAATTTTTCATCTGTATTCTATGAAGCTAGTACAGAATAGAATATCTCAAGGATTTTTTGTTATAATTGTATGCATAATGTATTAATATATAAATTCAAATGAAAACAACAATGAATCATCCATAGAGGATATCCAGTAAAAGGACGAATTAGCAAAAACTGAACATTTCCAGATAGGAAGAGCGTAGGAATCCAAATGCACACGAATGTGCGCATACTTATTACAATACTTTGTTGAAGTATTTTTCGCCAGATTTTTAGTCTAAATTGATTAGAATCAGCATTTTCAAAAGTGCAACTTCCAAGAATTCATCACATATACAGGCTGCTTCATAAGTCTTGAGACATGTCACAATTAGTTTATATGCAGACAGAGAATAATGTCTAATTCAAATGCTCTTATCTGAGTCTTTAGTAGTCATCGTGTTAACCTTTCAAATCCTCTTGTGATAGCACAAATATAAGCATAAGAATATGAAGATACATTTTTTCCTATTGATAAACTTGATTTTTTTTTATCAAGTGCTAAACTTATACTACACGGTATATGTAGCGTAGTAGAAACTAATGGTTATTGATCCTATATATTAATTGACCGCTTATCATTAGGTACTAGCTACATATTTCGCTATGCTATATACTCAGTCGAGCCGCCATGACTGAGTGACTACGCTCTTTGAAACATATCCACAAGATACTGTGTTCAAATCTCAGTATTACTAGTCATGCAATGACCTTGGATAAGCCACTGATGGTTACTCGTCTCGAATAGCCCGTTTGACAGCGTATTGACTACATGGCTAGTTAGTATATAGGGTAGCAACTCCAACATAGACGTCGTGGTAGTGTGCTTTCAGTGTTGATCGTAAACTCAGAAAGGATAAGCGTTAGACGGAAGGTGTTCAGATATCGCCATCTGTAAAAACAGCAAGACGAAAGAACCCTGACGCATATGGATCTCAAATTAGTAGATGGTCCCAATGGGCGATAAGCCTATGGGAAATATTACATATTATTATTATTATTATTATTATTAAATACTAAGTAATGAAACAAAAGGAGTGTGAGTGTGGGTATGGATCAGGGTTTGGGTGAAGAAAAGATCCACATGCACACGCACAACGAACCCCATTCATACCGAAACCCACTCATGCTCAGCACCACATTCACGCCCTCACAAAGACCAAAAATGGCAGGGAGTTTCCTCCCTGAAAAAGCTGTACTTCAGTTTATCGAGCTGAAACATTTTTTTTCTTTAAATAACTAGAATAAAACCGGCTTGTATGTTCTGTTTTCGTTGAAAAATATTGGTACTAAAGCTCAGGTGCAGCAAAATACTAGATGCCTTGTCACAAAACGTAATGTTTTCAATAGTATTCATTGTTGTAAAAACTGCCGAATTTTTCAGGAATGACATTTTGAAGAAAAAATAAATAGTGCATTTCATTTCAACCAACATACTTATAAAAAGGTTTGAGTCTGATCGAGCATATCGTGCTTTTTTAACTTTTATAGAATAAATTTTATTATACATCAAATATGTGAGTATGAATGTGGGTGCATTTGTCAGTCCTTATAGAACCCACACCCTCTATATTTACATATTGAAATATGTGAAGTTCCATGTAACACAATATAATTATTTTTCGGTATTCGATAAATGAAAGCATGTAAATTATTTTACAGAATTCATTCAACTTTGCCCATAATCAATAGTTTAAAATTGTCAAACTATTTGGAGATAATTTTATAAGTAATTAGATTTTCAATCGTTACTTAATTTCACATAATAGTTATAACTTCGAAAAAGACGTGAATTCTATATGTACGAAAATTATCGTTGCTAAGAAATTACAATATATTCTTAATGCAAGTTTTGATATCAAAAGTTAGCATCTCAGACACTGATCGGTTTCTAATACCAATGAAGACTGATAAAAAAGACTTAAAAAAGTAGTGTTCTTTGTTTTTCTCTATTTGTGTTTATGTTCTCTCATATTTTGACATCAGCGGCTGTTTTGGATATGAAACCGTTGTTCAAAATGAATTTTTTTGGGCACCAGTGGCAAGTATCGGTGCGGTTATGGTTAACGCTCTATTTGCAGCAATAATTCAATGAAAATGTGTGTATGTATCACCATTCAATGACAACTTATATACTGTCCCGATGGTAATCGTTAGAAGAGGTGTAGAATATAAGAATTACTTCCTGTCTCTGTATTATTCATCAGCAAGTGACCGTAGGATTAAACACACAGACCGACCAAGAAAGAACGAAGGAATAGACATTACTTGAAAATTTTTTACTGCAGCGTAAAATTTCGTACCAAAGTTCTGCATGAGCATTCTCAGCTTCAATTTAATACAGAAACATGTCTGGGCGATCTCCTATTTGTACGATCACAAATTCTTTCATAGAATTTTTGATCAGAGTTTTCTCATTGTGTAAGTCTTATCAAGACTAGAAAAAGCTTAACGCAATTTGTACTGATAGATCTTTCCTTTTGTGAAACACTCATCTTACTTTGTTTTGACATGTATAGAAGCTGAAATGACGAAAAAAGTCGAAGTTACTACTTCTCGAATCTTAGACTTTTTTCTGATAGTAGTACCCTCATGGGGTTGGTCAACTACGTCAATAATTCATGGTATTCTCATAAAAGGAAAATCCGCAATTCAAACAAAATGTTCAGTTTTTATATTTATGTGCGTTTCTGATTTGTTAAAGAAGATCTTGGGAACAAAGTCGGTAGAATAAATTTATTACCAATATAATCAATGTATTCACTGATACACTATTTTCTTGATTAGATAATTATATGATCACCATAGAGTTTTTGGATCTTATGCGAATCGCTTCTAAGAAGGATCTCCGTAGACACGTGGTGCTGGTGGTTGAGTTTTTGCAGCGTGTCTCATCCAAATTTTTGGCAATGACTGGTCGATACCAAAGTGTCGTCTGCATAGAATAACTTTCGTATTTTTTCTCATTCAAAAAAGGCATTCTTACTTTGCCCGTGTATGGATCAGTGTATGATAAGGTGTGTTTACGCCAATGTTGATCGATAGGTTTCATTTTCTGATTAGCAATCGGATTCTGTTCTATATTCGAATAGTCATATTCATCAATACGATTCTGAATAAGAAAAATCTTGAAAAAAATAGAATATTGATAGATGATTCGACGTACAGGAGAGTCTTCTCGACCATGTGCACCACGACTTTCTTTACGTGCTTCGGCTGCATAAATTGTTTGCATGGCATTGAGTAAAAGATTTTGTAATTCAAGTGTTTCATTTAAATCGGTATTCCAGATAATACCACGATCAGTAATCTAGAATAATAAAAAAAAACAAATGAATTTATAAAATGAAAATATATTTCCAGAATGTGAATAGATAATATAGCTACAAATGACTATTGGAAACCGAATTTCTTCTTGTTTCTATTCTCTACATATTCATTTGATCACTAAAGATTATCAGTGCCTGATAGAATCTTTCAAATTTTACCTTGAGATATTTTTGTTGTTGAAAGATGTTATCCATCAAAGCACAACCTTTTTTCAATGTTTCTTCTGCACGAAAGACAGCAGCATACTTTTGCATGATCTACAACAAACTGATAATGAACACTTGACAACAAAAAATCGATGTCTTAACAAACGTGTTGCATTTTAAGACGAAGTTGTGCGACACTAGTCGATCCATTCGCGTATCGAAGTTTGTCTAAATTGGCAATGGACATGTCTCCTGGGTTCTACAGAAAGAAAACAAAATTGACAATCAAAGTGAACTTTTCATATAAGATCGAATCAATGAGCATTACTAGATAAACAACTAACTGGTGAAAGATCAGGTATTTTTTCACCTGGCTTATTTTCGGTTGCAATTGTATTGGCACATGCTCGACCGAAGACAACATATTCAGAAGTGAATTGGCACCTAGACGATTAGCACCATGCACACTAGCACAGGCGACTTCACCTACTGCATATAAACCTCGAACAACTTGATCAGATTTTCCATTTCGCTCTTGAATAACTTGACCCTTATAATTAATCGGCATACCACCCATATTATAATGAACAGTTGGAATGACCGATATGAGTTTCTTCAGTACATCAGCACCAGCAAAGATGCGTGCAGTTTCCGTGATACCTGGCAATTGTTCATGAATAATTTTTGGATCCAGATGACTCAATTGAAGAAAAATATGATCTTTTTTATTTCCAACACCACTGAATTGACAAAATATATGTATGAATGTTTAAGAACAGAAACAAAGACTATTACTGACCGTTTTTCCTTTATTTCAATAGTCATCGAACGTGAAACTATGTCACGGGGTGCAAGATCTTTCATGACGGAATCATAACGCAGCATAAATCGTTTACGTCGCTATTGATAAAAAAAACACCTTCAGCACGTGTAGCTTAACTAATAAGACATCCAGCACCATAGATACCTAAGATAAAGTAGAGTCAATATTGAGAAAGAAACGAACAAGAAGAGATCAGTCACTAGTAGGATGAAATTGCACAAATTCCATGTCTTGGCTGCTAAGACCTGCACGAGTTGCAAGAACATTGCCATCGCCTGTGCATGTGTGAGCGAATGTGCAAGAAAGGTAGACTCGACCATATCCTCTATATGAAACAACAATTTTTTTTCCTTTGATACTATAGTTGTGGCTAAATCGCTGATACTCATTAACATAAACTCAACAAATAACCTACCCAGTGGCTAATACAGTATTGTTGACATGAAATCGATGAAGACTACCGTCCTCAAGATTCATCGCAAGAACACCAAGACATCGTCATTTATCATTGCTCATTAAAAGATCCAATGCAAAATATTCGATGAAATAATCCGTATTGTATTTCAGTGACTATAGTAGAATCAAGTAGGTTTAATGTCGACTAGATCGATCACATTTACTCACTTGACCATAGAGTGTATGCAACATGGCATGGCCTGTTCGATCAGCGACACAACAAGTACGACTTGCTATTCCACCTTTGCCAAAGTTGTAGGTTGCACCACCAAATGGTCGCTGCCAGATTTTTCTGCCCGATGTTCGACTGAATGGCATGCCGATATTTTCAAGCTAATTAATTGTTAACAACACAATTTTCGATATCTATACATAGGCCGAATTGACTGAAATGTTTGATTATACAAACTTCTATTACAACTCTCGATGCCTCTTCAGTCATATAATGTAGAGCATCTTGATCTCCGAGCCAATCCGAACCTTTGACTGTGTCATACATGTGCCATCGTCAGTCGTCAGGTTCCATGTTACCAAGAGCTGCATTGATACCACCCTAGAAAAAGAACATATTCGAGTGGAGTAAACTTCAACTCACTTACTTGTGCAACCACCGTATGGCTTCTAGTAGGGAATAGTTTCGTAATAATAGCAGTCTTGAAACCTGCCATCAATAATCCATAGCCTGCTCGAAGGCCAGCCCCACCAGAGTCAATGACAACTGCATCGTAAATATGATCAATGCTTTTATAAGTGGAACTTATCTAAAACATGATAATAAGTTAAAAACTAGCAGGAATACAATGGAAGCAACACACATGAGTTATATTACTATGTTTAGCATTGGTGTTACGCTTTTGTGAAACATTGAAAGTAAACGAACTAGATAAGATCTATAAATAAAGATAATGCTGAAACTTAGTCAACTATGTACAATATTCACTCACGTTGGATCCCACTTGATTGAAGCTGAGACAAATATTTTTCGACGAGAATCTTAAGAAACAATTCATTGAATTTTTGATTGAAATTAACAGTGTAAAATGAAATTTAAGAAGACAAATATTAGTCGAACTCAAGTTAAACTTCTTCTTCCGCTTAATATGAATGATTGACCACTTTCAATAGTTATAACCATATTATCTATATGAGCTCTCTGCATGTTAGTAAACTTCAATTTATTTCGTCTAGGTTCAGTAAAAAAGCGAAATATTCAATTTCACTAACCGTCAAAGTTTTCAGAGCAGTTTATCTATATCAACAAGACTCCCCAATATTCGCAGCAAGTATGTTTTTGTAAAAAAAGCAAGGAAGAACGCAGTCAAGTGGTTATGAGTTAACAGTCACACTTAACTGCTTCTTACCTGACGAAAAAAATTGCACAATAGCATACAAGAGTGATGACATCATGACTACGAATTATATTTATCAAGAAATGTAGTCATGTTCCTCCAAAAACAAGAATAAACCATCAGCTTCTTATCGTTCAAACATATTATCAATGTGAATTGAAGAACACACCTAGTGGATTTTTTTTCCCATGCTTAAAGTTCTCATTTTTATGGCGACAAAATGATCATATTGAATTCATTAATTCAGTATTGAGTTTTATTTTTAATATAGCAATACAAAAAACGTGTTCGCTGATTTATACTCCGCAGTTGAAAGGGGCTATGCTCTTACTTTTTTTGCTCCAAAGTGTATCATTAATTTGAACGAAATGCAAGATTTTCTCCTGTTCAATGTTACTTAAAAGAAGAGTATGATCAATTTCGTTTTTCTTCTTTGTTTCGGACTATAGAAAAATATAATCCTAAATAAGATATATAAGTTTGTCTCTATCTTACAACTCCATTAACAGCAGCATTCGTGGAACGCATCTTCTCACCTTTCAATAGCTTGAAAACATGCCTTTGTTTTTCGATGGATATTAATAATTTATGCTAACACTACAAATACTCATCTTTTCATAGCGTCACCAAACGTTCCTCACAATCACTCACAGATCGAAAAGTTATCTTCCCAAACAGCGAATAATATTCTCCTTGTACGAGTTTAGAAAAATGTATTCTTCAACAGAGAGAAAAAAATCCATATTGTTCACACCTAAAATCATCAGTTCTTTATTTTACTAGGTAGATCTTTTCTAAGTAAACCCAATGCATATATGAGCATTTGGTCCCCGAAACACATTTTGTCGTTTTATTAACATTATGCTCGCTTTATGAAAATATGTTTAGCAACCAGCGTCATTAATATATTGTTCTTTATTTGGAAGAAAAGGTTTGATCATTAAAGCAACGAACAAAATATGGCGTGTTTGGTGATTCATTCAATTGAAAAGTCAATGCAATAGGTATTGCACATCGTTGAAGAAATATTTTTATTTATTCAACAAGTCTTTATCTAAGCTGATTTGATTGTACATTCACCTATGCAAGTGAACAAACAGATATATTTTCAAATAAATTCTATATTAAACAACTGAATCAAATTTTTGATCCCCTGATTCGATTAGCTTAAGCCACTCACAAGCTATTGTCGTTGTCTCCCGAAGAAGTACTTAACATGAAAAAAAATGTCGGCCGAGTTTTTATAAGAATTAAATGGATTCAGTGAAAAAACAATAAATTCAATTATTATCAAGTGTTACAGATACATGACACTTATGGATTTTTTTATCATTGAATGCAACTTCTTACGATTGTCCAACTTTTATCGAAGAACTTGTTGAGTTAGCATGAACTTCATATTCAATTAAACAACATTTAGGTAAGTTGGTATTATAGAGTCCTCATTATTTTTTGTTCAGTTAAAATCTCTATGTCAGAGATCGAATACATTTACGAAGAAGATAAAGTACTTCTACAAAATAATCTTTCATTAGTATTCAGATAATTTTTTCACGTCTCGTTTCTTGAAAACTTCAATAATTAAATAGAAACTGCTAAGATATGTTCAGTTTGGCCCCTTTTATGCATGAATTTTTCTCAGAATTTTTCGCTTTGATTTAGCATATGATTTGGAAGATATTTTATTAATAGTGTGTGCTTTATAAGATGATAATTTGAGATTTGGCTACTTCAAACTATTGACCTTATTCATCGATGATATTCAGCCACAAAGTAAACAGATTGTTTCAATGATGAATCGTATATATTGCGTATGTCTTTATTATTTCGATGTTTATTATGAGAAAATCAAACTATTCACTATCGAATCAAAAATTCTTGGCTTAATGAAATATCAAGTTATATGAAAAGATTTGTAAGACAAAATGATACAAGTCATTCTGCAATTAGGTGCATATATTTGTTAAAAAGAATCGAAGTTCAAAACATAAGTGACTGTGTCTAATCATCGTGTCTTCATATCCATACCTGATCTTGCAAATATCGAAACTAAGGCATTATATGATAAATTTGTTGTTTTTCACCGTTTTTGTTATATTTTTGTCTTTTTCATGGAAGGCTTCAGAAAATTCGGTGATCAGTCATTTTTCTCTCTTTAAAATTGCATTGTTAAAAAAATATTTCCGACAAAATCTTCTACGACTGAAATATTGTCACATTCACTTTATTAAAAATCTTGGTATAGAATGCATTTGATAGAAAATACTATTTACTATTAGAATCACTATTTGGTTTTGAGCTAGATAGTTAACAGTATAGAAAAAACTATCAAAAATACGTTGTTGTTAAACTTTTTTTTCACTATCTTAATGTGCTTACCAGAACTATAACGTTTTATTCGAGTACGATGCCATCGATGATCAACTGAATACTAGGCTGTATAACAACTGATTTTCATTCGTTTAAAGAAAATTAAGGACGAATGCATTGTTGAATAATAATTATCCCTACACAAAAATAGAAATTAAAATCTATGAAAATTTGATTAAACGAAAAATAAAAAGAAACGATGAAGATATATTTTATGCTTTAGGCAAGTTTTTCAAGATCGAGTGTGTATAAAAGATTTTCAAAAAAGAAATATGATGAATTAACAATTATCGACATAAGTGCTTGAAATGCTTCATCGATATTTAATGATAACGTTTCAATGTTAACTATTGGTAAAGCTAAAATTCAAATTGAAAAAGTATTTTTTATGAAAAATATCTGATTTCAGTTTTAGAAATAATTTTTAACCATTGTTTTTAAATGACTAAAGCGTTTAGTGTAAAAAATATAAATATCGATCCATTGAACATATATATATATATAACGAGGAATTTTGAACGTTTTTACAAGATAAGAAAGATGACAGTTTGATTAGTTGTTTAGTATTAACTGCGGAAAATATAGCAAAACATTCAAGAATTCATCATCACATTATTTCAAAGAATAATTGTGAATGAACTTCTGAAAATGGTTTATATTATTTTTGCTGGATTTCCTGTTTCTACTATAAACGGATGATACTAAACTATAATACTTGTGCAATAAATCATTTGAGTTCATGATATCCTATTCTAGAATTATGCTCATTTTAATGAATTTTTTGTTCTAAGAAAGATTTTTGAGAGAATCATTCATTAAAAATAAGTTCGCCAACAGATATTTCTCTTGGCTAAATTGTTTTCAATGAATTTGTCTCGCAAGAAAATTCTTAAGGTAAAAAGAACATAAAACAGGAATAAGCGGCCATATAGTTGATCTATTGATACTCTTCATTGATGAAATGCTTTTAGCAAATCAAAGCATTAGTTTATAATTGATAATTGATTACTGTTGCTAGAAGAAATTGCTGCGCTTCCAAATGGATGAATATAGTTACAAAGTAAACATTCGAACTGATAATTATCGTTCGATCGCATCTTCGATCTACAAGAAGGTCTTATTAACATTAACAAACATTTAAGAGTTCGTCCTTATGAACCTTTGAAGATGTTTTAAGATCGTTGTACAGAATTTTCTATTCAGCTTTAGATACAAACTAAAAACTGCAACAACAGTATTTTACGGTGGAATCCCATTCATAGAAATAGCGAATGATCAGCAGAATAACTTAAATATTTCAGTCGAAAATTATTTAGCTTCGTCGATATATCGAATTTCTCCAAAATGGTGTGAGTATGGGGTGTAGATATTCTCTTTACTCACACACATCCATCTATACTCTCAAATATGTATGAGTATTTATTGTCGAACATTGATTCAGTGAGAGAAAAAACAAAGAACTTTATTTTTGTTTTATTTGAGATGCGTAGCTTGATAAAATGACAATCAAAGTCAGTTCAACGGAAATAAGTTCTCAATGACCTGTCTCGATGTTTCATTTTCTAATCAGTGAAATTCTTCATTTTACTGATGGTAACA